TACAGAATCCTACTAATTTTTTTTTTTTCTTTCTCTTCCCAATTTTTTTTTTTTTTTTTTTTTTTTTTTTGTCTTTTTGTCTTTTTCCGTGTCCGGCAACGGATCGCAACCCTCAGTGTTGCCCCCGCACCGGACCGGGGACCGGCAACGGGATCGCAACCCTTGGTGTCGCCCCCGCGCCTCGCCCAGCCAGCGAGCGGGAACCGGTCTGCATGTGGGATCCGAACCCCCGGGCGGGAGCGCCGCCATGCTTCCCAAGCGGCGCACCATCCAGTGCGCCACCGGGCCGGCCCCAATATTCACCTACTTTTAAGCAAATCAATTGTGAATGCTTCTGTGAGGGCCAGTGCACTAATAAATATTGTCCTAACAATTCAATTATTTGTAACTGTGTTAATAACTAGATAAAATAATCTTGTTTCAGTTATCTGTTATTACAGGTTACCATTTTTTAAAAATAAAAAAGTAGCTTTATGATAAAATTGGAATGAATGTTATTAAAGAAAAGGCCAAGACATAGGGCACAAGAGGGCTCATGTGTGCATTTACTGCCTTTCACCAAGATTACATCAGTATTTTACCCATAAAGAGTTTATTTCCTTTGTCCGTTCCAGCTGCTAAGCACATCTTTGATTTTTAATTAATCATGTAGTAGTGAAAATACGTACCGTACTGCTTTTGAAATAGGTAAATTAAAGGAAAAGGCAAAAAGTCACACAACCCAATCAGTGCTTTAAGCATAGTTGGTTATTTGTGGAGGAGTTTTTGGTTTTTTGTAGACCTTCTTACTGAATGACCTGATGTGGTCAGTTCTGTTTTACCACATCAGTGGATTACATTGGTAATCCACCCAGATGAGAACCTAGAGCTTGGAGTCAGAAGGTGCCTTGGAGGTGGGTGCACTAATTTCTTACACAACGTAATGATCTCTTCAGCCATATCCATGCGTCCATCACGGAGTCAGTCTCCATCCAAGCCCTGTAATACTGCTTTGTAAGGCAATCATTTCCGTTATGATGGCATTTGTCATAAAATTATTCTCTCGAGTTGAGGATAGGTCATTGCTCTGTCCTCTTTAGCAATAGAGGAGTTTAAGACCAAATTGTTTCTGTTTGATATACATAGTATATAGATGCAGATACCCACATACATAGGTGTAACCCCTTTGCTTTCTTTCTGCCCTTTTTCTCTCCTTCTTTTGGGATATCCTCTCTCATTTATTATTTACTGTTTTGTTTTTTTGTTTATATTTGGTTACTTAGAAATGTTGAGTTAGGGAAATGAATAATAATAATGAGTAATACCTAACCTCATAGGGTTGTTATAAGGATTAGATGATCACACGTATGAAATGTTTAGCACAGTGCATGACACATGGTAAACATTTAATAAATGCTAACAGTACAGTGACGGTAATGGTCTCTATCATTGGGTCTTTTTCTGCTAGATTAATAGAGAAGATAACTGTAAACAACAAACTATAATACAAGGTTAAATGAAATAAGTGCTATAGTAGAGATAGAAACAAAATTCTTATTTATTCTAATACAGGAGCAACTAATTTCAGTTGGAAAATTTGGAAGGAGGAGGAATCTTCTATCCTAAACTTTGAAGTATGAATAGGATATCCTTCAAGAGAAGAGAGAGGGATGGTATTCTAGATTGAGGGGCTTGCATGAACAAAAGCATGGAGCTAGGAAAGTATGTGATCTGAGGGTCTGAGTATGTAGAAAATCTGGTGGGAGGTAAGGGTGGGATGTGGAGAGGTCAGACTGCAGAGGGCTTTGCAAGCAATAAGAGAAGTTTGTAATGTATTCTAGAAGTTTTGGGTAATATTTTCAGTCTTTGAACAGAGGACCAAGATTGCAATACTACAGCAAAATAGATGTTGTTAGTGTATATAGATAATTAGTGGTTTCTGTCAATTTTAAAATTTTTATTGAAAGGGTTAATGAAAATAATATAGCAGGACAAAATGGTTGCTGTAATCCAGAGGGTGGAATGGAAGCCATTAGCAGATTGTGGAAAAATGAGTGTTTTGGAGTAAGACCTAGGAAACTTTAAAAAATTCATTTGGGGCTTTTCATACTTAGAGGACTAAAAAATCTCATCAGACAATAACTTCCTCTCTCAAAAAGTCAATCTGTAGACTGGGAGAAAGAATTGGGTTGGTATGTGCATGGAAAAAAAAACTGGGCTCTTCTGGCTGACTGCACATGTAACTGAAGGTGGACTTACCTCAGGATAATGGACTGGCTTTTAGCCTGAAGGGAGAGCTTTAAACATATTTTAAAACTAAGCACTTGGTTTCTATTTTTTAGTTTCTAAAGCTAATTATCTGATACAGGGTACTAGCTTTTACAGACAAAGCTGCTGTGACCAGACTTCAGCATTCTAGTAACTATCATTTTCCCTTTTTGATATGAAGTGATTTGGTTACCCCTTAAGCTTATCTTGTATTTTTGTTGATTTCTGTTGCTTATGGAGATTTTGTGTTTCCAGCACTTGTGACTCCAAATAATTCAAGCATCCTTGTTGGAGAAATTGTTAGGAAGGAGGTTGATTAGGACATAGAGATTGGTTGGCTGCTGGTGAAGTGAGAATTTAATTTAAGCTCACAACAATTGGGTTATTGGCTGGGTGGTGTGACCAGTGAGTTACTAGTTTTATTTTTTGGCTTTGGCACCTTTACCTTGTTGTACAGATCTGGCGTCTAGACTGAACTAGTAACAGGGGCATATGTGTGTAATAACTGCTATTTTCTGTTGATATGAGACGGACTTTGCATATCTATTAGAAGCCTTCTGTGGAAAAAAGCAAATTACTACTTAGTTTATGTTCCAGGCAGTACTAATGCTATCCTGCAGGTATATAGCACTTATATAACATTTGTGCTTTTCAAAAATATTTCATATTTGTTGTCATTTCACACTCACAACAACCTTGTAAATGAGCTATGGTGGGTATAATTCCTATTTGACAGAGGGGATGTTGAGGTATGAATAAGAGACTGGGTTATGGTTTCTGGCTCAACAAGTAAATGACTAGGACAACTTATTATATTTTATGTTTGAACTGCAACTTTCAGAAAATTTTATAGGAGGAAAAAGCTGAGTGTCCTCTTGTTGTTATTTTTTAGCGGCGTCTTCGACATCTTCGGAACATTGCTGCCCGGAACATTGTTAATAGAAATGGCCATCAACTCCTCGATACCTACTTTACTCTTCACTTGTGTAATGCTGAAAAGATATATAAAGGTAAGAGAATCTGTGGACTTGCTTCCCACAGATTGTTACATCTCACTTTTATTCTTTTGTAACACAAGTGATTCTCAGTGCCTCCTACTGTTATTGCTTCTTGGAAAACTAAATTGTCTCATGAGCAGTCATTGTGTATACAAAAGAAACATGGCTGGGGCTGGCCTGCTAGCTCAGTTGGTTAGAGCGTGGTGTCAGTGTGGTGGTATAACACCAAGGTCAAGGGTTGGGATTCCCTTACCAGCCAGCCACCAAAAAAAAAAAGAAAAGTAGCATGACTGTTGGATAGTCTTTCAAATAGCTGAGCTTTCCATTGATAAGTTTATCATTCCATTATGAATGTTACTGTTGTAGTAGCTAACATTTAAAATAGATTATATGAGTCCAGTATCCTGTACTAATTTTACTTTTCTTTAAAATATAATCAATTTCTTAAAAATTATGGTAAAATAGGGACCTCGTTTATATCTTCTCCTATCTATAATTCTTTGTGTATATGGAGTCATTTTTAGTATAATGACATGGTTTCTTATAATTCAATTTTATATATTCTGGATTTTTCTTTGACAGTTCTAAGAGTAGACTGAATATTTGATTCACAATCACAACAATCTTTGGAATACATAGTGGTTGAAAGGCACTGAGATATAATCAGTTGGCTTAGGTGGGATGGTATAAGAGAGGAAGCATGGTAAAATGACAGGAACATTGGATTAGGATTGAAAATACAATGATACTATTTCTAGCTCAGCTACTTACTGGCTTTGTGATTTTGGATGAAGATCATGGTTTTTTGAACCTAACTTTCTCTATTGGTAAAGTGGAGATAATGATGTCTTATGAGGTAGGCTACAAAAATTTTTATAAGGATCAACTGATATAATGTAATAACATTTGGAAAAATGTGATTAAACATTGTTCATGCTAACAAAAGTTTTATTATTTCAATAAGACGTAACAAAGGACTTATTTGAATCTTGTCCTATGACAAAGATGAAAAATTCAAGTAACATTTTATCCTTTTAGTTTTAGTTACCATTATTAAAGCAGTAATTGTTTAATGACTTTTTCTGTTTTTAATTTTAATAGCATATGCTTATTAAAAAATTCAATCAAGAAATAGGTAGCATTAAAATAATTTTTAAGGATGAAAAAAGTACTCTAAATTCCTCCATCTTCATGTAATTCCTCCATTTTCATGTGATTACTAACTAACCCTTTCAGAAATTGTGACTATTCTTCTCTTTGACTTCTGTGCTTTATTCTTCTCCACAGTATTTAAGATTACCTGACATACTACATATTTAATTATTTGGCTAATGTATGTCTCTTTCCACTAGAATGTAAGCTTAATGGAGGGCAGAAATTTTTAGGTCGGTTTTGCTCACTGCTCTGTTCCCAATACCTGGAAAAATGCTTGTCACATACTAGGACCTCAAATATTTTTTTCTTCTTAATTTTTTGAATAGGCAATGCAGTTCATGGTTTAAAATCTTATAAAGGTTTATATTAAGGTCTCCCTTTCTCCTGTTCCCCACCTCTTAGTTTTCCTCCTCACCCTGATAACCACTGTTATTCATTTCTTATTCATTTTTCCTAAGAGTCTTTATACAAATTTAAGTAAAAAATAGGAATATTCTTATTTCTTTCCCCATCTTATTTACACAAATAGTGCCATACTATATATATTTCTGTACCTTGCATTTTTAACTTAATATGTCCTAGGTGTTGAGGTTTTTCCATGTGGTTTCATAGAGAGCTTCTCTGGTTTTTTTTTCTGCATAGTTTTGCATTGAATAGATGTACCCTAATATATTTAAATGTTTCCTATTGGTGGACGTTCAGGTTGCTTCAGTCTTTTGCTATACATGTAGTATTGCATTGAATAACTTTGTATATATGTTATTTTGTATAAGTGCTGTATATCTATAGGGTAAATTCCAAGAAGTGGAATTACTGGGACAAAGAGAGTATGTACTTGTAGTTTTGGTAAATATTACAAGATTGTCCTCCATGGGAGTCATTTTACGTACAAGTGCCTTTTTTTTCCCACAGTTTCACTAACAGATGTGCAAACTTTTTAATTTTTGCTAATCTGATATGTGAAAAATAGTTTTGCAGTATATTTTGTTTGTATATCTCCTCTTATGAGTGAAGTTGAGGCACTAATAAAGCATTTCTTGAATGAATGGAATGCTGCATAACAGCCAAAACGCCATTGGAACCATGCTCTGCAACCTCTGATTGCTTTGTTTCATTAGGTCTTAGCATGGGTGTAGAGAGAAGCTTTTGTATCTAACGGTCTCTTTCATGTAGAAATAGATCTTGGACGATATCTTTTTGAAAATTACATGTCAGATGGTTTTGCTCAAATTTAATGAATACAAGTTATAAAATTTCATTAATAAAAATTATAGTTTATAATGTATTTATAATTCATTATTTCATTTGAACCTCATAACAACCCTCTCGTTTTCCAGATATCATTCTCCTTTGAAAGATCAAGGAACTATGGCCCCAAAAGGTTAATTGACCTGGACAGAGTCAATGCTTATACATGATGCATTGGGGAGTGTAACCAATTTTTTACTCTAACTTCACTGTTTACTTTCTTAGACTCTGCTGCTAATTTTATTGACAATATTTTATTTTATTTTATTTTATTTTATTTTATTTTATTTTATTTTATTTTATTTTATTTTATTTTATTTTATTTTATTTTATTTTATTTTATTTTATTTTATTTTATTTTATTTTATTTTATTTTATTTTATTTTATTTTATTTTATTTTATTTTATTTTATTTTATTTTATTTTATTTTATTTTATTTTATTTTATTTTATTTTATTTTATTTTATTTTATTTTATTTTATTTTATTTTATTTTATTTTATTTTATTTTATTTTATTTTATTTTATTTTATTTTATTTTATTTTATTTTATTTTATTTTATTTTATTTTATTTTATTTTATTTTATTTTATTTTATTTTATTTTATTTTAAGGATCCGAACCCATGGCCTTGGTGTTATCAGCACTGCACTCTCCCGAGTGAGCCATGGGCCAGCCCTTATTGACAATATTTTAGATCTAACAGAATGATAGACAGTGTATGCTCAAGTTTAGCATATTAGAAATTACCTCATACTCAATGATTTCTTTACAAATTATATGGCCCCTTTGTTGACCTCTCTTCATTTAAATTGGTAGGTCCATCCATTTTGAGTGTCTAGTGGAGAAGGCAAATTATTCAGTTTGAATATTATTCATATGTTTAGCCAGTCAACAAAGTTTTGAAAGAAATAATCTACTATTTCTCTTCTTAGAGCTGGAGATATTTATTGTGAGAACTATTTAATTTAGACACTTTGCAGATTAAACTAAGGAATTCTTTCTCAAAAGAAAACAGGACTATTTTTATTGTGCTTTTCACTGATTTTAGAATACTACATACTTGTAATGAATTCAAACAATATAAAAATGTATTAAGTATAATGTAAAAGTACCTTGTAATAAAAAACAACACTGTAATCTCTTTTAAACTTTTTTTTTCCCCCTTGGAAAAAAGTATGGTACGTATATATTAGAACATGAGAGTACTTCATGGAAATCTTCATATTGTCTTTTAGTTCTATTTTTCTATGAATTTTTGAAGTACTCTGGTATATGTATATATATACATACATACATTTATATAGTCAATTAATGGCTGGAAGAATTGGTTAACCGTTTGGGGATAATGAAGAGAATAATACTTAGGGTTGCATAGTGTTGGGAAAACAGGTATTTTCATAAATAGTATTATAAATTGGTATAATATTTTTAGAGAAAAGTTTGGCAATATCTATCAAACTGTACTTGTTCTTTGATCTTGCGATTTCACTTCTGAAAGTTTGTTCTATAGATTCAAGAGTCTTAGGATATATATCTTTAAAAGATTGTTTATTTATAGCATTTGAAATATCCAAAAATTAGCAATAACCTAAATGTTCATCAGTAGGAGATTCCTTTTAAAGAAATTAGAATGATCTGTTTTCTTTTTTCTTTTTTTTTTTTTTTTTTTTTTTTTTTTTTTTTT